GAACTTTTTGCACATTTGAATGATGACAGCGAAAAGAATTAAAATGCTCCTTCATACTTGACCGTACATATATGAGTAATACAGCATTTAAATCTGTAAAGGGTCTACTTTTATTTGTGTACACTCACAATATCAACAAAACATTGTGCTTTTGCAAAATAAACAGGGTGTGCTTTTAGCCGTCTCATTCTCTGGGCATATCTGTTTGAAACACGTCACTAAAATGAACTGAAACTCAGCGAATATTTGACACACACACATGAGAGATATATCTATAGAAAGCTTAACATCCCAGTCAACATGTGAGATCATGCGATGGTCACAGTGACATCACACGATCCAAGTATGCATACTATACTAAGGTACTGTGGGGAAAAAATGCTTACAGTTGTTTATAAAATTCTTTTAGGACTGAATACACCACTCTTGCCTTTGCCTGCTCTTTTCCAGGCCCCAAAACACCCTCGGACCCCAGAGGGTTAAAAGATTGAGGCTAGTAAGCAAAAGGTTGTGGGTTCAAGCCCCACAAGGGGTGATCTATGAACCATTAGCATTGCTGAACTGAGACACTTAACCCCACGTTGCTTTAAGGGGACAGTCCATGCTGTGTCTGTCATGTAAGAAATTAGTTATAGACTATATAAAAATTAACCACACTAACATTATTCAACATACATTTACAAACTCTGTTTACAACCTTAAAGGGATAGTTAATCTAAAAATGAAATTTATCTAGTAATGTTCATCTAGATAACTTTGAATGAACGTTCCTTTAACGTTACTGCAAGAATGTTTGTTCAGAACTTGGGTAGAATATCCAAAAAGAAACAATGTAGCACAGGGATTTGGTGTTGATTGGAGTTTGAGATGTGGGAGTTGCACTCAAAAGAGAAGGCAGATTAACACAAGGGGCGGGGTTTACATGGAATAAATTATTGGAGAAGTCCTACATATGTCACCAGAGAGAAGCTTTACTTCTCACCGGAACATGCATTTATGACATTATTTTGATTCAAAGTATGCATGGATGAATGATTCACATTAAGATCTATAAAAAGGCATTTAGAAAACAGATAGGGTACATTTTCATTTCATGCTGACTTTAAATGCTTCCCACCTTGCAACACGGACATCCGGCCTGGGAAGAGTTGAAGGTGGATGTTGTGATGTAGGAAGAGAAGGTCGGGGTCGCGCTCACGTTTGGGAGCGCAGCAGCGCTGGCCCCGCCCCCGTGTGACGTCGACGGCGCCTCACCAACTGTCACCTGAAGGATCTCCTGGATCTGTGTCAACTCTTGCCTCAGCACCTGCTTTTGATGAAAACTAAAGGCGGGATGGTTCGAAGCCATGGTGAAGAGGAGCAAAAACTGCTCTCCCGTCTGGCCATCGTTAAGCTGAAGTCCGTAGTTATTAATGATGGTGTCGATATGGGTGAGGGTCCGAAACAAAACTCCCGCCGCTACGCGGTTGTCCGAGCTGAGGAGCGCGAGAGAGACGAGCAGCTTGCTCCTCACGACCTCATCCGTGATGTTGGTCAAGTTAGCGAGGTCAGCCGGGTTGTTGGCTTTGATTTCTGCATCCCTCAGAGAGTGGTAGTCTTTTCGGGCTAGGTCTTCCAAACAGGAACCGAGGAAGCGTAGCTCAATGGGAACGCAGAGGTCCAAAAGGCCGCAAAGGAACTCAGCCCTCTGCGCCGAACTCAACACGGAGAACCAGCGGTAAACCTCCTCTCTCTGAACAAACCATCTGTTTTCAACCATTTTAGCCAGCACTCATAAAATGCATCAGATAATAAAAACAAATGCAATGGTTGATGGCCTTTACAAACTTTACAAACTTCCAAATCATTCACTGACGTAAACATCCATGAACTTATAGGCAGTGGTGAGTCTGAGCGTCTCAGAACCCCTACAAGAAGACATACTACATAGTTTCCTTCGCGTTTTATATGCCTGCAAATGCATTATCTCGTCAAAGCCTATTAGGATATTAAAGAAACAAATTGTGTTTACTGTAATCCCAGACGCGCGGCGGCGCAGCCCCTCTGCCCGCCTGTGTCTCTCCTTTTTCGGCCAGCCCCCCTGCGTGATTCCCACGTCAGCCAGTTATTCAATAGACTCCAGGACACATTATAAAACAGGAACATTTCTTTCAGATCTTATAGTATTCATTATACCGATTTGTCCAGATGATACTATCGCAATTGCTGTACACGCTCAAAGGAACCGTCGTCGGGCAATAAACATTTTGTGTGGAAAACTCCCCAATTGTAACAGTTTGAGTGGTCGAATGGACGTCAGTATAACCGTATATTCCTTCGTCGGACGCCGAAGTAGGCTAACGTTTTTTATGTTTAAAAAAAAACGTGACACTTTATCCGCTGCTTTGTTTGCATTCACGCGAGTGAATTAATCAACGGTTTCGTTGCCTATCATTATCCTGTCGTGAAGTCGAGTAAGACAAACTGAGTGTAGTTCACTATCCATTCCCGAACTTCACGCAAACCCCGCCCACGGTTGAATTTTATTGAATGAACAGCTTGTCAGTAATCATATTCTGCGCTGTGATTGGCCAGAGCGACATTCTTGTGTATCTCTCAAGCGCTTGCAGTCATATTTGATGTGGACAGTAAAATATTGTACGATTTAATGCGATAGGGTACATTAACTTAACTGAACAATCCGTAACTGATTTTTAAACATAAGGTAAATTTATTTAAATGTTATAAAATAGTATGAATTATTACTCTGGTGATGATAGTACCGGAAAAAACGTTTTTGAAGTATGCCTTTGGCTGTAGGCAAATATTGGAAACCTCTGGTTTTGTCATTTAATTACGTCAACTTTTCCCGAAGATGGCGCCAGTTGTCCCAGGGCTCAATCAGGAACCAAGTCTTATAAATATTCTCACCAAATCTAACGGATTCATATTTTCTCAAATACTTTTCTCTTTGTCCTGTTTACCGAAGTCGTTTACAAATTGAACATGCAGCTGTTGATCTTAAAGATATGATGCATTTTAGACTAGTTTTCAATGGATTGCAGATAAATATTCCTCGTTTCCAGCGTTTATGTTCTTATAGATATTATAAACCAAATTAACAATACTTTTACAGTATTTATTGTTAAGCTAGGTACATGTTAATTTCTACATACACTGATAACTTTTAACATTTCAAGTTCTATAAATTGTATTACAATATGAAAAAAATTAACAATGAATAATAGTATATTTATAAATGAACATTAACAGATAATAAATGACGTACAAAAACTTTATTTTTAGTTCACAACACCTATTTAAGAAGCACTGACAGAAAATATGAAAAGCCCCTACTGTAAGATGAGTAAACACAACTATACCCTAATAAATGTACAGTGCTGGCAAATTAAACTGTTGCTGATCATAAATGAACACTAGAGGGAGCAACTGGCTCTCACTGTGCCTTGTGAATGAAATTTATAAACAATTTGATGCACAAGCAAAAGTGGCGGGTGTTCAGATTTAAAGCTTTAGAAATATATAAATCCAGTACTAGTCCAATTGGCTGGGTGCAAAAAAAACAAAAACAAAAACCCGAGTACATACGTATTTAAAATTACCAGCAATGATTGGTCATGAAATGCATGATGTGATTTATACTGAATTCAAAACATGTCAAATAGGGGTTATGCGCAACAGACTTCCGTATTCTGTTAACCGGGTCTCGTCGCTTCCGGTTCAAGCATTTTGCATATGCTTCATTAAATATGAAGCAATTTTACTCAAGATGCCTTCAAAGTAGATACCAAAGATTATCATAACCAATGTCCATCACATATGCAGACTGATATCTAAAAGTTTTTTATTTTGATTCTTTTCACTAACATTTAGATTAAAAAAAATTGAATAAAACATCAACAATAAAAACAGCTAGCTAGTTTTACTGATTATCTTAAAAGTCCATAGATATCGCTATTATTTATTACAGCTGTTAGCACATTCTCCGACAAGTGGAAGCGATGAGACCCGTTTTCCGGGTTTGGTAAGGTGACGTTCGACATATAACCTATAGAAGTGTAATTTGTAATTTAATGTGTTATAGTAACATTTTCAGTGGTACCTTTGGACCAATTCATTAGACACAAAACTACACAAGGTCAAGCTAGCCACAACAAAAATGGTGGTTCATACTTAAGATGATACGGTAATCAGCAGGAAAAGCAAGGAGACATACTTTCTGAGTGTTTTTATCTTTTGAGTTAGCTAGCGAGTGGGATGCCAAAAACGTTTGTCTTATGCTTATGTAGATTCACTTTCACCAACAATTCACATTCAAATCTTTGCCCCATGTACTCAAGTGTTTGAGATTATTTAACATGCTCATCCCTAATACAAACCTAAAATCCTGAGTTAGCAAATGTCCCTCTTTCTGCTATTGCTTCCCTGTGGTTAAACTAAGCTAATTTAATAACTCCCCAAATTTTCAATAACAGCCTTTATTATTTCAGTTGTGCTGCAGGGGAGCGTGAGTCATCACGGCCTGTTTTACTAACAAGTCTGAGTGATGTTGCGTCTCTGGGCTCAAACTCATGGAAAGGCTCCTCAGGCCTCAACCAGCCACAGCCATAGTGTGTGTGCATCAAATTCTACATGGTAGAGCAGAAAACACACAATTACATTATCATAATGTCATCTGCTGCCCTTTAACAATTTTATGTAGCTATCAGAACAGGATCAGCCCATACAATTACAGATAATGAATTATAATTCATATGTATGTGTTTTTGGTTAAAAACGTGCTATTTTAATGGTTAACAAGGCAATGTTATTAATATAGTTTGACTTTTGATGTCTGATTGTCAAATTGTATCTTGTAATTTTTTTCAAGAAAGTGTGGTTGTAAATAAGAACAACCTTGCAAAAACTGACATTCTGAAATGATACGTCGTGCCTCACGCATTCCCTTGCAATCTCTCTTATACACATACACTCTCCCACACTCTGTCTACTGAACCCACTTTATAAAATCTCCCCCTTCTTCTCTAATGCCAATCAAGCCAACAGCAGGCTATCACTAAAGTAGCCTGATAAGCTAAACCACCAAAAGCAATTTGTTAACCTTGCTCAATCAAACACAAGTATGTAGTGTAATATACATGAAATATACAAGAGTCACATGAAATCTACTTGGAGTCAAACTGTAGGTGACCTGTTTACTGCATAAAACCTTGGTTCTCACTACCTGCTGAGCCCAAGCAACATGTCAGAGTATTTTTACCCAGCTTCGTCAGAGCTGATCCCCAGTAATTGAGAGGATAAATATCCTTCCTCCTCTTTACAAACAGACTGTTACACACAATTGCAAGTCAAAACTAATGGCATGGTTACATGTATACATCAAATCCCTTTGTTTTCATATATATATATATATATATATATATATATACTGTATTTTAAAGTCTCCATGTATCCTCATGCATCCTAATGTGCTTTCTTAATTACCAGATACTTCTATGGAAAATCTGTTTAAGAAGGAAGGAGGACAAACACTGTACAAGCCATTATAAACCAAGCCGTGAAGAACTGCATGATGTTCTCAGCTATCTGTAACAGTGTTGTATGAAGTAATATGTCTTCAATTATAACATACTTTGGCCATGAATCATATGAGTCATCACAGTAAAAGATGCTCTTTGTGGCGTACAGATATCATGGAATCCAGTGAAGAACAGTCAAGATGATCAAGTGCCAAGGTCAACAGAGCAGATTTTATAGTATCTCACCTGCAACAAAGAAATTTAATGCATCATCTCAAGCCATATCATTATCTGACAAAATGCTCTAATTATTCTATGAGGGCAGAGCAGTGGAGATTTAGCAGGGGGGTAGGGGGAGGACTAAGCTGGGCAATTAGGAAAAGCAATCTTTGCTCCCTGAAGTGGATAGAGAGAGAGAGAGTGATGAGCATTAACGCAGCGCATGTCTCTTTAAATGAAGGGAGAGCCAGGGAGAGAGGGAGCATGTGAAAGGGGGAGGGGGAGCTGGCTGCATTGGAACAGTCCGCCTCTAATGAGCAGATTTGAGAGACACCAGTGTAAGAGAGAGAGAGAGACATCCAAGCATATGGGGGAATAAGATGACGACGAAGAAAAAGACCATCAGCGTCACATGAAAATCATTCCAACAACGTGATTGAGTCAAGGAGGAACAGAAGAAGGTAAATCAGGGACAATGAATCTGGTTTTCCCACCTGCAAGCAAACCGGAGCACAGGATTTTTATACTGACCTGAAAAGAGAGCTGAGAGGAAAGCAGAGACAACGACAAAACAGTGCCCAGATAAGGAATTAATCACATCAGTTTGTTTGCGATCAAGCTGTGCGCTCATCCTGTGCTGGCGAGAGCGTGCGTATATATGTATACGATTGTGCACGGATAGAGACTGCATTACTGCTAGCTGACGGAGACTGAAGCTTGCAGAATTCATCACTCTTTTTTCTTGTTTCTCTTGCACTCTGTCTTCCTGTGTGGCATCAGCATGTCGGGTGGATTTGGTACAACAGTTAGTGAGCTCCTGGCAGAAAGGATGCAATTGTAAATGCCACCTGCCTGCTTCATCCATCGGCCGTCACTCTGAGGACTCACAGGTTTCTAGGTGGAGCCTGGTGGTCTCAGCGACTGGGAGGGGAAGTGAAACCCAGAGAAGGAGAGCGGGAGTGAGGGTAGGTGTGTTGGCACAGGGGCCTCTGTGGAGGCAGGAACGAGGAGGGGGCCAGAGCACCAGAACCGAGAGAATAGTTGCTGCGTTGGTAATGACAGAACAAGGCGCATGGCTGGCGTGGGCCCACTTTCATCACTGAGAAGAAACTGCAGGAAAGCAGCTCGTGAATAAAAAGTTCCACTCCTGGAGGAGGATGGTCTGAGAGGGCTCAGGCTGCTCCTGCCTAGTTTGACAGGAGGGGACTACTGCCCAGGAGGGCTCCACTTTTTTTCTTTCAACTTTTTGCATTTTTTTAAGGCAATTAAAGGGAGCATATACGGGTCTTTTCCTTCCCCAGCTTTCCAACAACACCCTGGCCCCATTTCCAAGTCTGATTTTGTTTGGGTTTTACGTCCTTTTCTTTTTCTTTTCTTTTTGAGATTTGGGATATTTGCCAAAACCTATTTCATGCATGTCCACTGGGGGCAGGTTCAACTTTGATGATGGGGGATCATACTGTGGAGGGTGGGAAGAGGGAAAGGCCCACGGTCATGGTATCTGCACAGGACCCAAGGGCCAAGGCGAGTACGCAGGCTCCTGGAGCCACGGCTTTGAGGTGGTGGGCATCTATACCTGGCCCAGTGGGAACACCTATCAGGGGACATGGGCGCAAGGTAAGCGCCATGGCATTGGAGTTGAAAACAAGGGCAAGTGGGTTTATAAAGGTGAGTGGACACATGGATTTAAGGGACGCTACGGTGTGCGGGAAAGCACAGGAACCAGCGGCAAAT